TTACCTGCTCTGGCTCCTGTGAATCCTACAATAAAGGACGTCGAACGGAGGATGCATCTGTCCTTGCTGCCGTCCGAGCATCCCGCTCTCTCTCCCACTCTTCGGTAATTGATTTTAAGCGGTCCAAAAGAGGTGAGACATGGGCACCCTTGCGTCTAGTGGTTAGCCGTTTCGGACCAACTTGCTTCGGTGGAGAGGGTGCACTAACCTCCGGGTGATTGGTTGTCTTGGGGCTGCTGCATGCTAGGGCTCTTGTGACCCGTTGGAGTGGTGAACCTCCAACCTCTTGCAATATAGATTGCCTTTCACGGTTGGTTCTTGCCATTACCCAAGCGCTTGGGTTCACATCCGATTGATTGATGAATCGGACACCGGTAATATCTTTCTTTTACTTAGTTTTCATTTGAATTTAGTTTTAAGTTTCAGTTAGTATAGTCTAGTTACTTGGGCTGTGTCATTGCTTATACACGTTCTTTATTTTTATGGAATCAAACTCGTATGCATTGAACGCAATTGTGATTCTAATATGGTTTTAAGAAAATTATAAATTTATTAATAATGTTTGCTGCATTTTGATGGTAAAAATCAAGTATTTGATGTTGCCAAAGTAAGTGTTTATGTGTTTATTAATTCATGTGATTATCTTCGGCCCAAAGGCAGTTGGTAATTGACATAATAAATAATACATCTGTGATAATATATATGAGATGATTATATGGATTTAACTTATTTGAATAGTGAATTAGTCCAAACAGTGGTTTATTGTTTGACATTACTTATTGTCTGTATATGATTATTGGAACAAGATGATTGCTAGCAATTAATGTTATTGATCCAAAGATTGATCATTGCTATTGCACTTAGTGTCTTGGGATGCGAATGCATTATTCTTGAACTTCATTGTACTTCATAAATATATATATATATATTTGTCGGTCCGATTATGATATGGGAACAAATGTAAGCAATGAAAAGAATCAATATTGATTCATTTGGGCTGCATTAATCATGACTTGGCATTAAAAGTAGACCAACCCATTCGTACAGTGAAAAGTGCTCCAGATGAAAAGTACTTATTTGAGAAGTGGGATAGGTCCAACACCTAAGTGTCATGATCATTAAGAAAAGTACTCCATAAATTTTTTGGGAGTATGATATCTGATTATATCACTACTGCCAAAAGATTCCTTATCGAAATTACAAAAGTTTTACCAAAACTGATAAGGTGGAAATAAGTACTTTTTTTAACAGTCTCATTATCATAAAGTATAACGACAAAAGTAACATAAGAGAGTACATCCTGACATGTCTAATATTGCTACTAAATTGAAGGTACTTAAGTTAGACTTTTCAGATGACATATTAGTCTTATTGGTCTTGCTCTCACTTTCATCTCAAGCTCATCAGACTCATCTTGAGGAAAAGACTTGTTTCTTTTGCAAAAAAATTGAATATAAGAAGAATAATTGTACTAAGTATCACAAATGATGCATGATGAAAGACACTTTTCTTACTTCGGTTTGTACTGAAATTAAAATAATTTCAGTTCATAGACACATCTGGGGGGTGGATTTTGGTGTAACAATTCATATCAGTGTGTTTATGCAACATTATTTATATTGTCGAAAATCAATTGATGTTGAAAGATACATCTATATGGGTGACAGCAAGAAAGTTAAAGTTGAAAGTAATAATAATATTAGATTATTACTAAGTACTGGTTATTATTTGGATTTAGATGAGACATTTTTCGGTACCATCTTTAGTCGAAATTTAATTTCAATTTCTATTTTGAACAAATTTAGTTATTATTGTTCATTCGGATATAAAGTTTTGTCTCTTCCAGAATTCAAAATCGATTGAAACTAGTACATCATTTGATAATAATAATCATTGTTTACCTAATGGTCTAGCTTCATATCATGAATTAGTTATTGAACATATTCATATAGCTTCCATGATTGCGGATCCGCTTAATTGCTAAAGGGTTTCCACATAAGTTCTATAGTAAGCATGCTGCTCGTATGCGAGTGGAACCATATTTTGATACTTCGGTTTAGAGGGAGCTAATTATTAATGTTCAAATACAGTTAAAGTTACTTTATTTTATACTTCAGTATTCAGTTTTAATTCAATATTCAGTTTTAATTTAGTATTCAGTTGTTCCGAACTAAAGTTAAGGTGGATCAGTTGGAAATAGACATGTTAAGATCACATTACATAAAATTTCCATATTGTGCATCCGCACTTGATCGAATCTTAGGTTATATTAATGTTGTAACCACTAATCGGTTTCATTGTGATAATTGCAGTAATGGCTGCTTCGATCCACATTTTTGTGATTTATAGATAAGATTGGTAAAATATATTAAAGCATCTGATAGAAAAATTTCCAGAGCTCATATGGTTATTCAATATGCATCTACCCAAATGGAAGATTGCTAGATTAAAAATCCAATTGTGGATTAAATGTAACTATTTGGGATATTAGTCAAGTTAAGCCTATATTAAGTGATCTATAAATTTATTGGGCTTAAATGTATTTAGTAAGTGTGGGCCTCCTATGTGCGGAAATCTAGTAACTTACTAATTGGGTGATGAAGCCAATTAATAATAAGAGATAAATTAGGGTTGTGATCCCAGATTTAGGTGCAACAACCATTACTTTTCATATCTCATCATGAAAGTAATGGCGGAAACTCTAGCGGTTTTCTCAGGAGGGGTTGTATCATAGGCTTGAAGAACACAAAACCCTCTATCAATTTGCAGATCCAAATTCGACTGCGCTTATGCAATCCGGTTATATTTAATTAGCTTTATTTTTTATCTCAATTATGTCAAAATGACAGATCCTGAGCTTAGGGTTTAATTACTGATAAGTTCCAACACATTCCTCTTCACATTTAGTGGCAACATCGACTCAAGTTCGAAATCAAATTTATTCAACTTGTCTCCGTGATTCCGGTGCCAGGCAGTCGTCCCCATTCATGGTTCTCTTTCAGTTGAGTAAATTTATATATTGTTGGTAGCATATGTTTGTGCCGGTGCCTTATGTGACTCCTAATAGATGCTAGCATATGTTTGAGGCTCGGAGTATGTAGCTCATGTTTGTGCCTGTCATCGAAATGAGTGGACTTTTATGTGTTAGACTCCAAATTATATTTCAATCTTATCTTGGACAGACACCCGATTCTTGTTTCATATATTGTCTTTATTCTCGTATATTTATGAGATGTGCTTACATCCTCTGAAATATTTTTAAGCTTATTGGATCAAGCATGCTCCTTGTTCTGAACCCTTCCTTGTTGGAAGGATATTCAATATATTGTATTCATTGTGAATCATTTTTTTTTTTTTGGCATTTCATTCAAATGGAAAAACCTTATTTTGTGTGTGTATCCACAATAGAAACAGTATATCGCATCGGGTGGACTAAATTCGATATCTATTCAATCCAATAAATCTATAATAAATGTGAACACTACTTAATTAATTATGCGAGCGGCTTCACACTAATCATATGCTAAATAAAGTCTAGTATACTTTGAAAGTACTAAGTTATTCACAATGGAGTGCTGTTGTTAACGATGATACATGCTTTAAACGGCATTGATAAATGCTATTTGTAATTCGGCAATATGCTATTGCAGCATGTACACTTGTTTTCCGAAGAAATTCACATATATTTTACATATAACTGAATACACTATGTAATCCCTTAGTATAATTGCAAACATTTTGCAAACCAAAAAAAAAATCTATTCTGCTTTAAAAAAAAAAGGTGTATTTATAATTGTTTTTTTTTTATTATTATTATTATTTTCCATGAAAATTTAAACTATTTTTTACATTGCCCATTGCTTTAGTAGACGTTTCTCTCTTAACCGTCCATGTGATCAATTTTTTTTCTTGTGAAGCAGATGAATACAATTTTAGAAGACATGCAACTAAATCATTTTGTTGCTTATGACCATAATGCTTTTGCATCAACCTCAAACGTAGGTAAGCTTATAAATACATTTTGCAAGTGGTTGTTCATAATATAAGCTAAAATATATCACTACCGGAATATTCTTTATTCTCCTTGGAATCAAATCTAAGGCTGCAAAAATACATATAAAATAAATATTAAGTCAATTAATTTTTTTGCTTCGGAAAAATCAAAACTATTAATTTTTTGCCTCGACATTTCCAAAACTATTTTAAATAGTTTCGGATTTCCAAAGCTATATTAAATATACATTTTCTCATATCGAATGTCTCGAAATTTTTAAACCTATTTTGATTAGTCTTGGAAATTTTGAACTTATTTTAAAGAGTCTCGGAAATTCCATGGCTCTTAGTTTCAGAACTTCTGAACATATTTTAGTTAGTGTCAATACTTTCAAACCTATTTTAATTAGTATCGGAACTTTCGAACCTATTTTAATTAATCTCGGAATTTTTCAAAACTATCAAAAATTTAAATTCCCGCCACTATTGATTAAGTAATTTTAATTTTGATTTTTGATTTTGATTTTGATTTTGATTTTATTTAGATATATATTTATAATTTATTTATTGTGTAAAAAATGTATACATAATAATTAATTAAATATTTGCAATATAAAATAATTAAAATAATAAATTTAATAAGTAATTGAATTAAATTTTAAATTAAAATAAATTATAAAATATTAATGTATTAAATAACAAAATAATAAGTAAAATAATTTTTTTGCTATCCTTCATTCACTAATATGTCAATTTTAGTTCATTTGTTTTTAAAATGATACTTTGAGTCTCTTATTCATTAAATTAGTTCAACTTTAATTTTTAATGAATATTCCCCATCTTCTTTTCCCAATTTCCTTCCATTCCTTCGTCTTTCCCCTCTCTGTCGTCAAATTCAAAATAATTTCTTTCACGAAAATCTTTCTCTCTTCCTTCATTTTTTTTTCTACTCCTATGTTCTTCTTTTCCCCCTTACTCCTCCATTATCTTCTCCGACAACGAAGGAAATGGCAGTGGCGGCGGTTCTAGCGGCGCCTACGGCGTCTTTCCTTTCTTCCTTCTTTTCCTGCAGCGGCGGCAACAATGGCATCTCCTCCTCCTCTTTCTTTTTCTTCGGCGGTGACGGCAGCAGCAACGGCGGGGCCGGCGGTGGCAATGGTGCATCTCCTCATCCTCCTTCTCCACAGCAATGGTAGCGGCAGCAACGGCCTCTTCTCCACCTCCTCCTTGATTTCAAAAATTTTGAGACTATTCAAAATAATTTTAAAAATTACAAAAATAGCCTTGGATTTTGGAGACTTTTAAAACAATGACTCATTTTTAGTCTCGGGTACCAACCCAAAATATACTCCGAAGCTAATCAAATGTATCGGTTGAGTATTATATTTTTCTGGGACTAATGTATCTTTGGTACTTTCATTAAATAATATGAATGACCTTCTATATGTTAGTGTCTTTATAATGAATTTATGTATTAAATATTAATCGTTCTTTCTAATTGTTGTTTTAGCGCACTTGCATTCATAAATATTCGCGTACATTGGCTCCGGTTCTCTCCACATTCTTGAGGAGATGAAAGGGTTTATGTAGTAATTGCATGCTTAACTTTATTGGAGATATCAAATTAATTGATTGTTATTCTTTAAATTTCAAGTTGAATTGTGTGAGAAGGAAGGACGCTCAGAGTTATACACAGAATTCCCACCGCCAAACAGAATTCTTTGCATAATAGAAAGAATGTCTGCAGCCAACGACGAGAAGATGTCTTCGACACTTGTGGTAAACAGAGAACAGACAAAGGTACTCTGGGCAGATGTAAATAGTGATTTTGTTGACATATTGTCGAGCTTCTTCACATTGTGGTTAGGAAGGATTTTGGGAGAGTTCAAGAAGCACTATGGAGACGAGGCACCTGCGATTGGAAGCTTAAGCAATCTGTACAATAGTTTAGCAAGTCTTGATGAAACCTATTTCTGGACAAAGGAAGGGAAAGAAATGCTGCTGAATCCAAGAAGCACTTTGTTGAGTCATTGCCGAACTTTGAAATTTAATCTCAATGATTTTCCGCCTGTCAGGTACTTCGCTTGTCAATCATGTAGAATGGTGCGTACTTCAATATCCAATGAAAATGTGAAATGCAATTGTGGGCGCTCTTTAAACTGCGACATATCTGTGGAGTCTGAATATAGTGCAGTAAGGAATTTGGCCTTCCGTTTGGATTTTCCGGATATTAGGGAGCTTTGTTGACAATCCGAAGGAATTTGGTCTTTGGTTTGGCTTTGCTGGACCTTGGAGGGCTTTGGTCTCCGTGTGGCCGATTTGATCATCGGCTTTGGATTTGATGTCTTTTTTGGACGATTCGAGACTTTAATCTTTGTGGAGATGGCTTTGGTACTCCAGTTTGGTTTTGCTGTACTTTGAAGGGCTTTGGTCTTTGTGCATGCGATTTTATTGTCAGCTTTGGATTTGATGTCGTCTTTGGACGATCCGAGAATTTGATCTTTGGTTTGGCTTTGCTGGCTTTTGGAGGCTTTAGTCTCCTTGCGGGCAATTTGATCGTCAACTATGGATTTGATGTCTTATTTGGATGATCCGAGGCTTTGATCTTTGGTTTCGCTTTGCCGGCTTTTGGAGGGCTTCGGTCTCCGTGCGGGCAATTTGATCGTCAGCTTTGGATTTGATGTCTTCTTTGGACGATCCGAGGTTTTTATATTTGGTTTGGCTTTGTCGGCTTTTGGAGGGCTTTGGTCTCCATGCGGCCGATTTGATCATCGGCTTTGGATTTGATGTCTTCTTTGGACGATCCGAGGTTTTGATATTTGGTTTAGCTTTGCCGGCTTTTGGAGGGCTTTGATCCTCGTGTGGGCGATTTGATCGTCGGCTTTGGATTTGATGTCTTCTTTGGACGATACGAGGCTTTGATCTTTGGTTTGGGTTTTCCGGCTTTTGGAGGGTTTTGGTCTCCGTGTAGGCGATTTGATCGTCGGCTTTGGATTTGGTGTCTTCTTTGGAAGATCCGAGGCTTTTATCTTTGGTTTGGCTTTGCCGGCTTTTGGAGGGCTTTGGTCTCCTTGTAGGAGATTTGATCGTTGACTTTGGATTTGGTGTCTTCTTTTGACAATCCGAGGCTTTGATCTTTGAGAAGGTGGATTTGACACTTCATAACACTTTTGGCAGTGTGTCCCTTTTAATTTTGGATCAAAGAGGGCCAGGTTGATGCTTTTGGCGAAGGACGCGACGAACACCTCGAAGGTTTGGGATGAACTTTGAAGGCTCTTCCTTGGCTTTGATGGATCCTTCAACGGCTTTGGGAGCTTTTATCCTTTCTCCTGCTCGGGCGTACAACGAAGAATGTTAAGTTCATTGATTCGTGAACAAATATTGGACATTTTTCCAAATCAGTGACTTTTCGACGAAGAACAATGAAGAACATTGTAGGAAGTTTAGAGACTTACCCGTGCACGAATCTTCAAATGAACTTCGGTGTGTCAAACGAATTGGCCATGACCCCTATTTATAGGGAGGAGTAGCTTTGGCTTCCTTTTCAAATGATGCTACGTGGTGCGTTCTGATTAGCCTATAGGACGATTTTATAATATTTCATTTTCCAACAAATGTTGTTTTCTATTCTTAACGAATTTGATTGTGCACCTTTCTTTCTCGCCAAGAACTTTATATCATTGCCTTTTCGGAAGATATTAATTATAATACTTCTTTTATTGAGAAGATTTATTTATTTTGCTGCCAAATTTATTATGGCTCTAGTTATGCACGTAATACACTACTAAAAAAATAGTATATTTGTAACGGAATTCTATCGCTAAAATTCATGTAGCTAACGTAATTTTATCCTTAATTCCGTCTCTAATTTTATTAGTAACGGAAAAAATGGATTTAGGAAGGAAAAAATTTCGTTACAAAAATGATATTTTATTGCAGTGATATTTGTACGATATCTTCAATTTTAAGCATATTTTTGCATTAATTGTTATACTTATTTTACAAAAATTAACATATGTGCATAATTATATATTACACATTTAATACGATATCAACATTTTATTTTCTTCCAATATATATAATATTTAATTTAATTTAGACATTTAATTTTTTAATGCCTACAATATGTTGGCCAAACTTATCACCAAATCTCCGTTGCTTTGGCTTTGAAATTATCGACTTTGATGGAGCCGAGCACAGAACTGTGCAGATCGAAAGAAATGAGGTTAGCTGATTATATGTTTAATGAATTTAAATAGATTTAACTATTTTCATTTCATGGGTCTTTTGTTAAGTGAGGTCGTCTCGAACTTTTTGAGAACCCTGAGCAAAGTTAAATGATAGGCCCTATAAACAAATATTTTTTCTAAAAAAAATAATATCAATGAACAATACAATAATAAATTTTTAAAAAATAAAAATTATATTAATCATATATACAATAAATGAAATATGTGTGTCCGTTAAGGGATGGACTATCCAACCTAGTTTCTAATACATATCTTAACTATTATAAAATTTTACAATATTTTGACTATTATAAAGTCAATAACTCAATAATATATATATATATATATATTTTAGGGTTTATTAGAATTAGAATTGGATTGGATAATTGTAAAAGAAAAAATATGAGATAAATTTTAAATTAAATTTTAATATATCTATACTAATTATGGACTTTATAAATATTTACGAATTTTAAAGGCGAGGAAGATGGGATTATAGAAAAATTCTTATTAGAATTATTTTAGAATTAAAATTAGATTAGGTAAATATTGAGAAAATTATAACATAAAGTTTAAAATATATTTTAATATATTTAATAATAGCTAAAATTAAATAATATGAGTCCCTCTTGAAGTAGAGGCCCTCAGCAATTGGCTTGCGTTTCTTTTGCTAAGAGCTGGCTCTGGTTATAGTCTATTGTTTTTTTAATGTTAAGAGTTTCATTATTTCCAAGGAGTTGAATCAATTTGTTTGCTATAGGTTACGGATTTACTGAGCAAAGCATTGCTATCCCAAACTCCATTAACGGATCTTTTTGTCGACGATGAGAAGAAGCAGAAGATGAGCTACTTAGGTTCAACATGGAAAAAACTCCACATTAAGCCAACACAAACAAATTCAAAGAAGATTGTTGTGATCGCAGTGGTCCAGAAGTCTACAAATAAGCTTCTGCTGGTTGAATCTGAGAGTTATTTTGTCGATTTTCTGTTTAGTCTGCTCACTGTTCCCATGGGAGGTGTGGCTCACCTTTTGGGTGGCAGCACTGGTCTTGGGAGCATCGATAATTTGCATCGAGCATAACAAGGTTTGAAGACAGCCAAAATTTCCAACAGCCAGGAGAAATGAAAACTATGTTGTTCAAACCTTTGCTACCTTGCAAGTACCATTCTAACAGCCAAATGCTTCCCATCTTTGAAGAATTTCTGAGGTCGTATTAGACTGACAATACTACATTATGGAGCTTTTCGGACCAGGTCACCTCTCATTCTGTAATAGTACATGACCCGAAGGGCAATGGTTGTTATATTAGGAGCCCTGGAATGTTTATGGTGACCGATGATTTGGTAGTGACGCTTTTATCTCTTATTTCACTCATGTGTTTCTTAAATGAGGCCAAGATTGCCTTGTCGGACATTGAAGAAGTGGAAGTTGAGATTGGTGAGGAACAGGTGAGATGGTTCATGCAAGTTTTGAATCGTGTCCTTCTGAAAATTAACAATTTACCTGTATTAAATTGTCAGTATATTTATAGCAACAACATGTTTACATTGCAGGGATATCAAATATTGCAAGCTTCCCTTACAACTACTGCTGTTTTAACAAATGCTCTCAGCCCTGTTCTGGAGAAACAGCCTAAGCAAGAGAGTTGTCTCTAGGCTAAGAGTCACATACGTTACAACATTTATAATTAATTTTCATCATAATCAATTTTTCATTCAACATTATTATGTAATTTGCTTTCTAAAAGCCGTTGTTGCAGTTAAGTGAGTATTTGAGAATAGCTATATTTTGTTATATGAGTATTGTTACGGAAATTCCAGGAAATCAAGATGAGACAACAAGGACAAAAGAAAACAATAATCTGGTAACCAAGTTCGATCACGATAATCTATGTTATGGGGCGCTGCCAAGCCAGAAATTTTACTATAAAGTACGTAAGCACATATTAAAAGTGAGAATACATGGATATTTATAAGCTAAGCCTATGCCAATAATATCCAAATCATATATCTGAAATATAGAATATAATATTTAAATCATATCTAAATCATATTCCTAGATTTTAGGATATCATCAGGTTTCATATCCCAACAATCTCGTACTTGAAGACTAATTTTATCTTTTACTTCAACATTTTACTTCATCGGAAACGACAACGCCAAGCCTCCTTCTTCACTCATCGAGGCCACTTGAGGTTGAACACAACATCAATTCATCTAAGGTCACCACCTTAGACTGTCTTTCAGGATTGCTCATAAATATTCCCACTGCACGTGTTTTCCACCTCCTAAATGTATGAAAAGCATCATATTTACAGTTAAGAAAATATACTCATACCTCCCTTGTAACGTCATCAATGACTGCGGTGTAGTACTTTAAGCCTCAAATGGTCGATACAAAAGCTGGTTCCCACAGGTCCGTATGAACCAACTCGAACTTTTCCTTTTCCAGGTCTCCCCCGCCCTTTGAGAACGCCACCTTTCGTTGCTTCCCAAAGATACAGTCCTCGCATACTCCAATATCGACGGACTTGAGACCTAACAATCTTCCCTTTGAAATGAGCTCCCCTATCCCCTTCTCGCTCATGTGTCCGAGACGAGAAATGCCATAAATTTGTGTCATTATTTATGGCCATGGAACTGATTCCGCCTTGCATGGTTTTTGTCATGTAGAGAGTTTTATCTCCTCTACCTTGGGCCACCACAATGGATCCTTGAGTTATCTTCCACGACTTAGTTTCATAAACTGTTGGGTAACCTACCCCATCCAATTGTCCCACGGAAATTAGATTCGGTTTCAGACCCAGGACATGCCTCTCGTCATTCAGTCTCCACTCCCCACCATTTGGTGTTTTGATTCCACCATACATTTTCCTACAATTTTCAGTGTCTCATCATCTGCTAGATAGACAACACCAAAATTACATGTGGTATAGGATTCCATGATTCCCAAATCACTGCATGAGTGGAATGACGCTTCTAAGACAAAGATCCATGACTCCATTGGACTACTGACGCTCAGAATCAGCAGATCGGATATCTCAACCGCTATGTTTGCCGAACCTTGATCCTTCTCCGGCGCCCCGCACTTTCGTTTCAAGTGTCCCTTGCAGTTCCAACATACCACCTGACTTGCATCTTCCTTGTTCGTGTTCTTCAGCTTCAACTTTGACCATTCTTGATCTTCACCCTTTCCTTTTCCCTCAGATCTAAATTAAGTCGAGACATTCTCCCAAAGGGTTAGTCGAATCGCACTCATCGTCTTCCTGTCGATCTTCTTGTACTCAGCTTCATCCGTGTCTTCCGGTTTCTCCTTCAACGCCACCTCTAGATCTTTATCATATAGGTAATCTTCTATCTGCATCTTCCAGAAATCGAAGTTCATTCCATCGAATACCTTGACAGCACGACGATCACCCATCTTGATTCCTACAAACAAACCTAAGGCTCACTTGATATGAGAGCAAATCGGATATTTCCTCCGCTGCGTTTGCCGAAACCCATATCCTTCCCTGCCCATCTTGCACCGCCTATTACAAAGAGACCCGCTGCCCGACCTACAAGAACTGTTAGGACCGACCCAACACCGCCACCACCAGGAGACTTTCGACACAAGGCACCTCCACAAGTCACAAGGGATTTCCACAACCACAATCAATATTCGATGCCTCTCAATCCACCTTACCAACGAACCAGACTCTGATACCACTTGTTACGGAAATTCCAAGAAATCAAGAAGAGGTAAACAAGGATAAAAGAACACAATAATTTGGTAACCCAGTTTGATCACAATGGTCTACGTCTGGGGGCGCTGTCAAGCCAAAAATTTTACTATAAATTACACAGGCACATGTTAAAGTGAGAATACAGGGATATTTATAGGCTAAGCCTATGCCAATAATATCCAAATCATATCTCTAAAATGTAGAATATAATATCTATCTAAATCGCATTCCTAAATTTTAGGATATAACCAGACTTCATATCCCAACAAGTATGTTTATAAACCTTGAGCAACGTCCTATTCAACTCCAATTTTTGAAATGGATATGTGAACAATAGATTAGCTTGAGGGAAGACTGTCATTGTGTTTCTGATGATTTCAAGTGTAATAAATGCATGATATACTACATTGTGATATTTTGTTACCTAAAGTGCGAAGTTCTAATTGTTTGTAAGATAATTTTTTCGATTGATTCCGTCCTTATAGGTTGGTAAGATTCAACATTCTTGAAATAGTAATATTGATTAGGTCTGCACTTATATGTTTGTTCAACATATTTTGTATTCAATTAAATATCTTTTTCTTCATATTTAGGGTGTGTGTCATTTTATGAGTTTGGAATCTGGAGTTTGGGGTGTAAAGGAACACATCCAATATTTCCTCAGTTTCACTCAAATTTATTTACTTATTGGGATTTGTGTATTATATTAAGAAATAATAATATTTTATTGAGTAAAAATTATTTTTGGTCTCTTTCAATATCATAATTATCAATTTTGGTCATATTAAAAAAAATTATCAATTTTGGTCCCACTCAAATGAAAATTTATCAATTTTAGTCCCAAGATGGTTGACTGGGACTGAACACGGCCGTGTTCGGCTTGAACACGGCCGTGTTGGATGACTCAGAAGGTGACTGGGCGTCCCAGGCAGCCATGTACTAGGCCATGTTCACGACCATGTTTTCAATATAATCATATTGTAGGTCATATTTATTATTATTTTCATTTTTTCGTTAAAATTATTTGATATATATATATTTATAATTCAACAAAAATATCTTTTACAATTATTTCATAATATAAAAAATAATTATTTTTTAATATTTTTAAAATATATAAAAATAATAATATATTAATAGATATTTTTAATAATACTCCCCCCGTTCCACTTACCATGTCCACATTGTCATTTCTGTCCGTCTCACATCCCAAGTCACTTTCCTTTTTTGGAAAATAATTACACACTATTTTTTAATTTATTTTTTTTAATTTTAATTAAACTTATCTTAATCTTAATTTATAATTATTTATATTATATGATAATTATTTTCACTAATACATTCTTAATTATCTATTAATTATACTTATCATAAATTCTCGTGTCTACAGTTGCCCAGACATCCGTGGGACGGAGGGAGTATTATTTTAAAATATTATTTTGAATAATAAATTCAATTTATATTTTATAGAAATAATTAATTTAATATAATATTTTAAAATTTTTACTATAAATTTTTAAAAATATATATAATGATTATTAAAAATATATATTAATATATTATTATTTTTATATATTTCAAAAATATTAAAAAATGATTATTTTTTATATTATGAAATAATTGTTAAAAATATTTTTGTTGAATTATAAATATATATATAAAATAATTTTAACCAAAAAGTGAAAATAATAATAAATATGACCTATAATATGATTATATTAAAAACATGGTCGTGAACATGGCCTAGAACATAGCTGTGTTGAGAACATGACCGTGTTAGGAACATGGGCAATATAAGTGTGTTCAGAACACGGGCAGGAACACGGCCGTATTCAGAAGTGCAGGGTAACAAACACGGTCGTGTTGAGACCAACACGGCCGTGTTGGCTGCCTGGGACGTCCAGTCACCTTCTGAGTCATCCAACACGTCCGGGTTCAAGCCAACACGGCCATGTTCAGTCCCAGTCAATCATCTTGGGACTAAAATTGATAAATTTTCATTTGAGTAAGACCAAAATTAATAATTTTTTTGAATGGAACCAAAATTGATAATTATGATATTGAATGAGACAAAAAATGATTTTTACTCTATTTTAGTTTTTAATTAAACTATATAGACATTTTTATCTTTGACTTTATTTGTAAAACACTTGTACGTATAATTTCTATCTTTGTAATTTAATTAAATAAAAATTGAAATTATTTTGATACTAGTGTATAATTAATTTTATTAAAATAGTAAAATAGAAAAGTACTTGAGTGAGAAAAACAAAAATAATAAAAATACTTACAAGTTGGGAATGAGGGAGTATATATATTCACAAAATTATACTATATTATAAATATATATGTAATT